TTATGACATCAGTAATCACCCTAGGCTCTTGTCATGAGTTGCCAAGGCTATGGAAGCCTTTTGTGTTCACCAACTCTGATCATATTTAGACAAGGTCGTAGTCAAAGTGGAAGTTCTCTCCTCCCTTCAGAGAAAGGTACCTCCTTCTTTGATGACCTGTTCTTTTCACTGGGATCTCATTCGCGGAGATTTATTTATTTTAAAGGCAGAGAGAGGGGGGAGGGACAGGGGGTGGGAGAAAGAAATAGATCTTCCATCCACTAGTTTACTCCTCAAATGGCAACAACTGAGGGGGCTGGGCCAAGGCTGAAGCCAGGAGCTTCATCCAGGTCTCCCTTGTGGGTGCAGGGGTCCAAAAACTTGGGCCATCCTCTGCTGCTTCCCAGGCACATTAGCAGGGAGCTGGATTGCAAGTGGAGCAGCCATAACTCAAATCAGAGCCTATATGGGATGCCAACACTGGAGGTAAAGGGTTAACCTTTTTATGCCACAGTGCTGGTCCCTGGTCCAATATATATATATATTTTTTGACAGGCAGAGTGGACAGTAAGAGAGACAGAGAAAGGTCCTCCTTTTCTGTTGGTTCGCTCCACAATGGCCGCTGCGGCTGGTGTGCTGCAGCCGGCGCACTGTGCTGATCCAAAGCCAGGAGCCAGGTGCTTCTCCTGGTCTCCCAATGGGGTGCAGGGTCAAGGACTTGGGCCATCTTCCACTGCACTCCCTCCTGGGCCACAGCAGAGAGCTGGACTAGAAGAGGAACAACTGGGACAGAATCTGGCGCCCCCACTGGGACTAGAACCTGGGCTACCGGCGCCGCGGCGGAGGATTAGCCTATTGAGCTGCGGCGCCAGCCTGGTCCAGTATTTTAAATACAGCATCTTAAATGTGGTATTTTGAATGCATCAATTTAGTTTTTGCTACTATTTCGTAATTCCTGGATACATGTACTGTCTTCAAATTCTCTATAAAGTTATAAAGGCTAAGTAACTTTTTCTTGGAAATATCTTTATTTTATGCTTGCTTTATTGGTGCTATACAAAGTAACATCTTATAAGAACTCAGTGGCTGTGCTGTGGCCAGCAACTGTTAGGAAGCCTTATTATAAGCAAACTTGCTCTTCTTGGGAAGTAACTTAAGGTATGGAGAGTATTTTTTTTAAAACATGTTAGTCTCATGAACATTTTAAAATAACAACTGTACCAAAAAAATTTTTTTTGAATCTGCTTGAACAAGAAATCTAAGAATCTGTTGAGTTGTGTGGCATTTTGAATCCTCATCTTGCAGTACAAGTAAATGTAAAGTATTTGTAACCTCTGAATGAACGCCTCTCAGGAGACAGCGTAGAAAACCCCAAATTTCACCTGTTTGCGTTAATAATAAATAGGCTTATTATTTGTATTTAGCCCGGGTTTTAGTGTGTGCTACTTTCTTTCAGGTGGGTAATCCTGGGGAGCCAGGCTTGAGAGGGCCTGAAGGAAGTCGGGGGCTTCCTGGAGTTGAGGGGCCCAGAGGACCACCTGGACCCCGAGGTGTGCAAGGAGAACAGGGTGCCACAGGCCTGCCTGGCATCCAGGGCCCTCCGGTGAGTGGTGTGTGTTCCCATGCTTCCCCATTGGAGGCTCCAACCCACAGCAGCGAGTTCTGTGGTAAAATCCAGCCACCTGGCTGCTTGCGGAGTCTATCAGTTTGGAATTTAACAGTGCTCTCTTTATGGTTCTGGGTATAAACTGCCTTTTTGTTTTTTTCTGCCTGTCCCAGGGTAGAGCACCGACAGACCAGCACATTAAGCAGGTTTGCATGAGAGTCATACAAGGTAAACAAATCACAGTGGTTCGACTTTTTCCACCATAAACTTTCTTCTTGAGGTTTTATTCTTTAGGTTTGCAAGGGTGAATAACTGACTCTGTGAACGCTTTAAACGTGGGAGATTTTGCATAATATTAATGCCAACTGTCTTATCCATGGATACCATTCACCGTAGCTTGTAGCCTAAAAGTAAATTAACACCTTTGTTTGCTAGCATGCTTTTTCTTCTTTTGCTGAGGGGGTTAATTTGTAAGAAAGCACAGACACATAGGAATAGACACACAGAGTTTTTCCTTTGGAACACACACTTTCCCCTCCTTCTCCCTAAGCACTGCCTCAGCTCTCTTCAGATGACGGGAGAAGCAATGACAGGCTCTGTGCCTGTAAGCAGCACAGACTACCTCCACGCATGTTCCACTTATGTAAAAACTCAACTATAGCATTGTGCCAAAATGGTGAAATATTTTTAATGTTTGTTAACCTTCATCTAAATTCATCTATAGCTATGGCAATTGTTAATTTTTTCAGAATCGGTCTAGTTTTGAAACCTCACAGAAAATGAAGATGGGTGCCAACACTCTAAAGCTGACAAGATCACTTAACATTGAGACCTTCTCACATAATGTTCTTACTGTGTTGTAACCAGTCCTGCCACGATGACATGCTTCTCTCTCGTGTGTTCACCAGGCAGTCTAGTTTGTCTGATGGAGATGTACGGTTTTCCAGAGTCAGGCTGGAATGAAGTTATCACTTCTTTTTTTGAAAATCATTGTCACTCTCTTCATTTCTAGCATTTTTATCTGAAAGTGTATTTCAGTTATAAATAATGCATAGCTAGAAAATTATGATTTTTATCCTAACTTCCTTAAGTAAAGCAAATTTAGAATACTTACATTTAAACAGTTTTAAAATGTCAGCTGGAAATTTATTTCCAATTAATATTTGCTTTCAAACTCCAAAGCTTTAAAAAATGCAATAGGATATTTCCCTAGAATATTTTAATGAGGAAATTTTTTTTGTATTCTATGGCTTCAGTGGGTGGTTCTCATTCAATTCACTGGTTCCTGAAAATGTCTACATGGTTATTAATTTTTAAGACTGTGACCATTCCCAGGAAATGAGTTATTTTTAAATGTTGGTTGTTTATTCCAAGCATGAAATTGGAGAGGGAGAATTTAGAAGAAGCCACGAATCCCCCCGGATATTTCAGTTTATGCAATATCTTCAAACTAAAAAACCTTTTAGCTTTGAGACTAAGTCTCAAATGGCATCCGAGTACAAATTCTGGACAATGTCCTTGGCTTTTAAAGAGCTTGTGCACATCCACTTCTGCTCATGTTCAGAAACCAATTTCTCTTCCCATCCTGGGTTTTCAGATACCCAGCCACGAATCCCGCAACATACGCATCCTTCCAGAATATCCCTCCGCCCAAAGCCCTGCAGTTTACTTTATTTTTATTTTTTGGTCCTGTCACCTCCTGCTCTTTGACCCGGAAGAGCAGGACCAAATATACCCAGGGAGAGTTGAATGAAGCAGCACCTGTGAAGCTTCCTGATAGAAAGCCCATGGAAATGTTACCCAACTGGAGTCATTGCTCACCCCCGGTTTTGAAGTCCTGATGACTCATTTAGAGAAAATGGCCTTTGGAATACCTCTCTTCATTGGGATCGCTTTCATGTTTCTGACTTTGCTGGGTTGTTTCCTTTATTGCCTTTTAGAACATTTTGCTGAGATGGCTGCTAGTCTCAAACGTCCGGACTCAGGTGCCTCGGGCCTCCCTGGAAGACCTGGCCCCCCTGGCCCCCCTGGTCCTCCTGGAGAGAATGGTTTCCCCGGCCAGATGGGAATTCGTGGCCTCCCAGGCATTAAAGGCCCCCCTGGTGCTCTTGGTTTGAGGGGACCTAAGGGTAAGTCATTGCGCCCAGCAACATGTGCTGTCCTTTTTGGGGTATGTAATCCATGTGTGAGCTCAAGGGTTCATGTTTTACCAATTACAAATGTCCATTGAGATAAGAAGTGAGGACAAAGATTCAAAAACTATTATGTGATATTCCCTTGATCCTGCTGTACCATGAACAGTAGACCAAATGCTAGAATTAAGGTCCCCCGACTTCTAGTGTACTGATCTTTCTTATTTGCTCTCAGCTTTAATTGTGGCTTCAAATAAACTTCACAAGATCTGGTAAAGGATCATTCAGCTACTTTTTTTTTTTTTTTTGAGAACTTAAAGTCATTGTAGAACTTTTCTAATGTGTCACCCATTCTTAAGGTTGTATTTATCTGCTACCTACACTTAACAAAATTTTAAGCAGCAAATAAGAAAAAAAATATATGTTGAATTGGAGCTTCCTTGCACTTCCTTTAAAAAGCGGTTTTGCATATTTAGTCCTGATGATTTACGTTTTCAACTCTAAAGGACAATCTAACTTGATTCCTTGTTAAATGTGGGAGAGAGTTGTATTATCCACTTTTCTGCAGAGCCAGTGGGGCCCTGGCATCCAGTATTTTGCAGAGAAGCAGGGCTGTGAGTGTGAGGTGGGTATTCAGCAGGACTGCTTGTGTCAGATGGTGCTTGCTGGTTGAGGGGAATATTGCAGCTCAGGATGTGTATGGCCTCACTAGTTTATAGAGATGATCAAATCATGTGAGGAGTTTCTCTATTGTGATGAGTTACTGACAGCTCTTAGGAAACTTCAGAAAAATATGCCACCAAAAACAAGAGAGGGATTTTTCTTTAATACGATGGTGTTCCAATTAAGAATAAATGTTTTGGTGTGAATGGTCAGAGGGCGAGCAAGCTGTCTTTTTGGATCTACAAATGAATTGCTGATGCACTTGGCTAACACTACCCTCAGCTGGAACAATTTATTTGATTACTTGATTTTTTTTTTTTTTTTTTGGCATTTACAGAGCTGCATGTTAAAAAAAAAATGAGCTCTAATTGGAGCCTCTTGTGAGGCTGGCCCAATTTCAAAGCTTTCAGAGGCTGGACAAATTAGAGAGCATCAAGTAGAGTTCCTCTTAATGAGAACTGGTAGTTTTTTCTGAAGAAATCATGGATCTATTCATCTTTGACCTGCTTTTAGTGACTAGTTGAGGGACTTGGGTGTAGGTGCTATCTCCATGGTTAGGCCTAGTTTGCTCTGGAGACCATTTCTAAGAAACTCTGCTGTTTGGGATAACTGTTGACTTGGGTGGATCTGTGGATGTTGATTCTGTCTTTACTGAGGTTCACGTAGAGGAGTGGTAATGAAAGAGAAGTGCCTGGAATATCAGCATCTCCAGGGACCTAGAGCTGAGTGCGAATCCTCCACGTGCTCCAGACCCACTGATTCAAACTCTGCAAGTGGGGTCAAGCACTCTGGTTTAACAAGCCCTCCTGGTGATCCTGAACGCTGCTACTGTATTGGTGTAATAATGCAGTTGCCCATTTTCCTACTGAAAAGAAGTACCTTGTAGGGGCTACAAAAATCGCAGCTCTATTTCTTTGGGTGCAAGGAAGTCCTTGCATTTGGGGCAGAGCTTAACTTTAAGAAATGAAAATGTCTGTTTCTTGCTATGTTGGGAGAGTGCTTCACCCTCTCTTTCTCAGCCCTTGACTGCACACTGGAATCACTAGGGTAGTGGTCCCATTCCAGAGATTCTGACTTAATGGGTCTGGGTATTGGAAGCAAATGATGTTCCCCAGATGGTTTTAATGTGAAGCCAGCGCTGAGAACCAATGGACACAAAATAGAGTTGTTCAGACAGCTTTCTGGGAAGCTCTTAGCAACGCTGAATTGTACTTAGCTCGAGCAGTGTTGACTTGAGGGGAGGAAACTCGTTTGGAAAGGAAGACAAGTATATTTCTATTCTTGCAGCCCAGAAATTTGCTCTAGCACTAAATTCATTCACCAAACAATTGTTGATTATATGAGGTATTTCCTTCTAATTTTCTCCTGTTCTAGATAGTCTATAATCTGAAGTGATATAATTGTTTTAAGTGATTTTTTTCTCTCCTCCCTCCTCTAACTCTTTCTTGTCTTGGATTCCTCTAAATCAGTATCTACTCTTAGTTTGACATCTGAGGATTTGGGATGGAGGCTATGAGAGGTACTCAGATTGTGTTTATCAATCAGTACTTTCACACTTCAGGAATATGTGATGCTGGGTAACTGGATTTGACCTTTCTTGTCCTGTCACACACATGAACAGTAGTATTTAATGGAAATCATATAGTTTCCTACTAACCAAGTGTCTGTAGCTCAAATTTTCCCTGATAATTAACACTCCACCATTTTGAAACTTAAATTTTCAGCCAGTTTACTGAAGATATGTATTTTAGTATTGCATGTTCCTTTCTTCCCATCCCTAGAAAAGAAGGGAGAGGATGAGGCTTGCTTTTAAGTCACTTTCAGAGTCTTTTTCTAGAGAAATTGTGACATAAATAACCAAGTTTTATTCTTAATGTTTTTAGCAGTTCAGGCTATGTCTTAGTCACTCTTTTCATTCTAAAAAAAAAACACTGAAAAACACAGTGGGTTTTTTTTCAATAGGAGCTTATAGAAATATACCTCAAATCACATAGATTAGATCTAATTATTCTTCATTTTTCATTGACCTGTTTTATATCACACAAACATGGGAGCGCCAATGTCCATGCTGCATGTCTATTTTCTGTATATTCAGGCAGAAACATCACAGACAGCTGACTGGTCTTCTGTCATTTTTGTTAAGCATTACATCAGTTTTTTATGTCATATTTTAAGAAATATTCGTGATTTGGATTAATTTTAGATTCATTTGGGTTAGGCTGTGTATTTTTAGATATTTTAGTGTGAGTCAAACAGATGTGTCAATATGTAAATGAAGACTTGAGAAAATGCATGTTATAACCGTGACTCACATTTCTTTCAGTTTTAGTCTGCTCCCATGGAGACTGTCAATTATAGCTTGTGAATAAATGCAATAAAAAGCATCTATAGTGCCATGAGGATTTTTGTTCTGTTCAAAATAAACTGGATTTTTTCCCTCAAACTGTGTATTTTCCCTCATCCCTTATTTTGCAAGGATTTTTTTTTTTTTTTAGCTGAAAGGGCTAAAAAGGTGGATTTTTCATTACCTGAGCCAGTTTTGATACATCTTAAAAGCAGACATGACCAGGGTTGGGAGGAGGTGATTAACCCTGGTGATGGACAGAACCAGCCTGCGGGCACGGTTTGCTGTGGGGCAGCCATTTGCGCAGAGTGGCTCTGTCTTTCAGTGCCCATCTACAATTTGCTTTTCTGTGATTGATGACCAAAAGTATCACAACTGCGACATCAGTGTTATTCCTTGCAGTGAACATTTTAATGCTGTGGCATCGTGCTAGCATGTGTAAATAAGTTTCTTTCACTACCAGTGAGAAAACTACATTTTAATTTATAGTGTGCTTCTCCTGTCTTCAGAAAATAAAGCACACTTAGAGATTCTTTTCTCATCACCAGTCTTCAGAATTACAGTGATATGACATTTAAATTGCTAAGTTAACAAGAATGCTTAAGCTGTTAGTTTTTAAAACACTAATTGTCACAACATCCTGATATAGTAAGGCCACACTGATGATGAATATACTAAAAACAAAGCCCCAGCCAACAAAACCGAAACTAGCTAATTTGAATATGAATTCAACCTATGTCATTAGGAAGTATTTAAATAAATTTCAATTATCTTGAAATGTATTGATTCATCTTAAACATTCACAGTTAATATCAAAAAATGGTGTCTATTTAAACATTCATTTCATAGAAATTTTTGTTGACTAAGGTGCATATTGCGTGTACAAATAATTTTTCCATTTTTGTGCACATGGCTATTAAATTATAATAAACTTGACTCAGTATAGAAGTGAGGCTCATATAGATGTTTTGGACAAATGCTTATATACAGAGCTGTTGTAAAATGCTATTACCTCTTTTAATAGTGTAGTGGAATAATAATATACTACTATACCAATGGGATAGTAGAATGATGTCTTTCTCTAAGAAGTCATTTAGGACCAAGTTAGCTAAGATATTAATGCACTTTGTTAATGGGGCCAAGTTTCACGGGTTTGGTCTCTGCAGGAGTCAGTATAATTAGTGCAGGTTTGTTCTGTGGCTGCTAAATCCCAAATTTAATCAACTGTCTTTTAAATATCCTGAAAATACATTTGGTCGCAATCCAAAGTAGAGTCCATAAAAATAATGAGTCAATAGTGATACTTTTGACAGCATACTTTTAATTTTTAAAGTTCATTAATTTATTTTTGGTAGTAGTAAATTTACATTGTTCAAAAAATTTTAAATGTCTAGGAGGTATTTAATGAAGACATTCTTTCCCACCCCTGTATCCCATCTGCTTAGTTCCCTATACCCTTCACATTAGGTAATTGCTGTTTTTAGTTTCTTATGTATCCCTTCAAGTAATGCTATTTAAGGATATATAAATATGTATTTTCCCTATATTCTTTAATCCTTAAATCCTAATAGAAAGACCAACTTGAATCTGATGTTCTATAAAATCATTCTTTGTTTTCTTCTCTTTCTTAAATTGATCTTTTTATCATTTCTTGTTATTATACTTTAATTCACGTAAGCTAGTTTTGCTGATACAGTGGAAAAAAATAAATCTTTTGGAACATGAAAACCTAGAATCAATTCCCAACCTTTTAAATTTCTGGTTATAATATCTATGTGAAGTTCTTATATTTCATATATAAGTATATGATTTGTAATTTATCCTGGAATATGGTGTGAGGTACAGTTCTTTTTCTTGCAGTTGACTACTCACTTTTTCCAACATCATGTATTGAATTGTTCAACAATTTCCCATTTTAAGATGCTACTTTATTATAAACCAAATTTCTGTATGTAGTGAAACTTGTTTTGGGGGGTTTTCTATCCTGTTTCAGGAGTCTGTGGACTGGTACCATACCACTTAAACTTGTTTTGGGGGGTTTTCTATCCTGTTTGTGGACTGGTACCAGGCCACTTAAACTGTGTTATATTTGGGATTAATTCCTTTCATGCTGCTTTTCTTCTCTTTCTTTCTCTCTCTCTCTCTCTCTTTTTTTTTTGTTGGGTGGCTATTCTGGCTTAATATGTTTTTAAGATTTTATTTATTTGAGAGGTAAAGGTACAGTGAGATGGAGAGATAGAGAAAGGTCTTCCATCCACTGGTTCACTCCCCAAATGGCTGCAATGGCAGGAGCTGGGCTGATCTGAAGTCAGGAGCCAGGAGCTTCTTCTGGATCTTCCATGTGGGTGCAGGTGCCCAAGTGGTTGGGTCATGTTCTACTAGTTTCCTAGGCCATAGCAGAGAGCTGAATTGGAATAGGTGCAGCAGGGACTAGGACTAGCACCCATATGGGATGCTGGTGCTGCAGGCGGAGGATTAATCTACTGTGCCACAGCACTGTCCCCTTATATGTGTGTGTGTGTGTGTGTGTTTATTTTTATACAAACTTCAGAATTGCCTCTTTTGATTAAAAACTTGTGTTTGCATTTTTATTGATCATGATGAAAATACAACTGAGGGAGAACTAACAACTTTTTATCATGACATCATTCCATTTAAGAACATTTTTCAAGTCATCTTCTATACTTTAGACTTGTTAAAAATTGTTTTCATATTAGACATGATTATTTTGGATTAAATTCATTCCTAGTTATTTAATAATTTAATGGCCATTGTCTATCTGTTTTACTATGTCTTATTACAGGTTGCTTGTGTATTGTCTTTGTATTTTGCTAGCTTAATGGATTCTCATATTTTTTTTTTTTTGACAGGCAGAGTGGACAGTTAGAGAGAGAGACAGACAGAAAGGTCTTCCTTTGCCGTTGGTTCACCCTCCAATGGCCGCCGCGGCCGGCGCACCGCGCTGATCCGATGGCAGGAGCCAGGTACTTATCAGGATATGGCTCATATCCCAAAGGGTGCAGGGCCCAAGGACCTGGGCCATCCTCCACTGCACTCCCTGGCCACAGCAGAGAGCTGGCCTGGAAGAGGGGCAACCGGGACAGAATCCGGCGCCCCGACCGGGACTAGAACCCGGTGTGCCGGCGCCGCAAGGCGGAGGATTAGCCTAGTGAGCCGCGGCGCCGGCCTGGATTCTCATATTGTTTGTAGTATATTTTGAGTTTATTTTCTAGAGATTCAGGGTATATACTAGGGATTTTTTTTACTCCTCAAACCAAATTATATGATGAAGATAATGTTGGAATCTGTGTTCACACGGTAGTAGAACTGATTCTTGTGTTTCCCATTATGTATTTCACTAGATTTGGTTGAGATGTATCTTATATTAAGGAAGTAGTCAATGATTCTTTATTGAATTTTAAGTTTTGAATTCTGTCAAATATCTTTTTAGTGTCTATAGATATGATTTGATTTTCCCCCTACTATGATCTATTACTAATATGACCTTGACTTTTGACTTGCTGTATACTTACAGTCTTGTCTGTGACAACTTTGTGAAATTTTGGTTTCCTAATTTTGGCTTTGTCTAAAGTTTAAAAATGCAGATGTTTATTTCTATAGACTAATATAAAAATAACATTTCTCTAATGAAATGCAGGTGACTTGGGAGAAAAGGGGGAGCCTGGTCCTCCAGGAAGAGGTCCCAAAGGTTTGCCTGGAGCTACAGGTCTCCCAGGTAAGTGTCTTATGTGGCAGGGCCAAGTAGAGAAATTGATGGCAAGTGAACAGTGTGAATTGAATAACGTTTTAAAAGAGTTACCATTGGATTACTTATCAAGTGATCATTATGGCTGGCATAGATTTATCAAGACCAGCCAAAAGGAAAAATTAAATGACCTATAAATCATATCATATTCTTTGTGAGAAAACAGGGTCAGCACTTGAAATATTAATTTCTTAAATAGATGCTTTAAGAAGACTAGTGTCCAGTTCCAGACACAGCACGCTTATAAAATTCTGGATGAATGGGTCCTTTCCATTTCTAGCCCAAGTGATAGTTTCCTGCTTTTCATTTTTTTAAATTAAAAAGCCAGAGTAGTAGGAAAAGTAATCTAAGTTATCAGCTACAACTGAAATTTTATTTTAACAGCTACTCTTTCAAATATCCAAACTCTCCCAAACCTCATATCCAAGCCCCATCCCTCGAAACCTGAACATTCCTACTCGGTTACAAAGAGCCACACACAAGCCACCTCCCCAGCTGTGTGGACAGAGGCGACAGAGCAGCCTCTGTGAAGAGCCAGCTCCTCTCACTGGCCTTCTGTTCTCTCTCTACACACTGGCTGCTCTGTCACCAGGGCCCTGGCTGGAGCACGCTCTACTGGGAAATGACTTACAAACACAACCACAGAAGCAGCATAGCCGGGCTAAAAGCCAGTTCAGTTTGAAGGTGTGAATGACGTGCAGGCTTCCAGAGCGCACTCTCTCTTAACAGTGGCTGAGGCAACGGTGCCAGACCCCTTGGTGTCTGTTGCTGGAGATAGCAGAGGTGAGAGAGCTGCTCAGAGAGAAAGAAGTGAAATGGTACTTGCTGCCATAATTGATTTGGAAAAGTTGGTTTAGGGAAATTTAGAAAAAGAAGTTATCGTTTTCTGATTCTGCCAGAAGCTTACATATTTAATCACAGCTATAATTATGGCTCAAAACATCATTTCTTTCCAATTATGCATTTTATTGCTCCTGTGATTGCTTTCTCATTAAAATGTTTTTTTTTTTTTTAAATGAGTACATTTAAAGATAGCTCAAACACTGCCTTTCTCAAACTGATTCATGGGCCTGTCGAGATGTTTTTACGAATGAATAAATTGTTGTGATTGGAAAAGGAAGATTTTTGTGATTGAAAAAGGCTAGACAATCTATCTGGAACTAAATGGGATTGAGAGAAGATTTCAGTGTACGATTAAGTCTGGATTCATTGATGGATGCTTAGAAGAGAGAAAAAGGAAATAGGATTTACTAAGAGAGCTTTTCCTTTACTGGTAGTAGTGATAGGAGGTTTTAGAACTGATGAAATATCATTATCACAATTTAATTAGTTGCCTATATAGGGCAGCTAACAAGTTCTACTCTCGCTTTTTTGGACACATCGTTCAGCAGTTGGAACCAATGACTTGACCCCTGGCCACATTTCTCTTTAAGAGCTCATGGTTTCTGGTGATTGTTCCTCACAAGACTATGTTGGTGAACTCTATTTTACCTTTAAAAAAGGGAAGAGGGATGAAAACCAGCTGACAGCTCAGTGTTCCTGACTGCGAAGAGAGAACACATTCCCCACACTCAGGGCGGAGGAGCAGAATCTGATGGGACAGGTAGACGAGGCTTTGCTGACTGTCTTTTCAGTAGCTGAGACCCGCCATGGATAGATAACATGGCGAGGTGGGACCAGTGCATTGTTTGCAACCCCCCCTGACCCTTGTCTTTTCTCCTATATGGAGAAAAAAAATTAGATTTATTGTAGCTGGCCTTGGATTGAATACTTACATCTGATTAGTTAACACATTCTGTGGCTACCCTGCCTAGGATCTTGAGACCTGCTCATTTTCTTCCTGCCTTCGGCCAGTCCTCTCCCCTCCCTTCAAGGACCCACTTCCAGAATCACCCTCCTCCTTTGGGCTCTTCCTCTCCCCCTCCCCCAGGCATGCAGGCGCACATGTGCTCACACACATACACACATACTCACACTCTTCTTGTTTCCCCAACCTCTGAGTCTTTCTTTTCAGGGGCTTTAGTTACTTGTTTAATGGAGAGGGTATCTGACATTATTTAGCCAAAAATCCAAGTTCTAGGTCAATTTTCAAAAACAGAGGCTACTGTTGAAGGCCAGATGCTGGCAGTGCAGGGGTCTGTCCTTAGCGTCCTCATAGCAGGGCCAGCCAGGGAGTGGAGCTTCTAGGCCAGCTCCCTGTCCATATGCTCAGCTTAGAATTTCTCAAGTTCATCAAGTCCCTGACAAGAGCGTTTTAGGCCCTTGGCCTACTAAAGCTGGTGCTCTGAAAGTGGGTTGTGCAGAGTGTGGGCTCCTTGATGCAGGCATCCTGGGTTCAGACCTTGACTCTGTCACTCACTTCAGTTGATGACATTGGCCAAGTCACTGATCCATGCCTCAGTTTCTCCATTAATAAAATAATGAAAAGAGACATTGAGTGTGAATCTGAGAATAAATAGAACTCGATCCATATCATGTGCTTACAATAGTTTAGACCACAGTAGGTGCTCAAGACATGTTGATTATTAGTACTAGTAACATAACATATACATTTTGCTTTTTGAGATGAGTGAAGAGGAGCTGTGGGCAAAGTTGGACCCCAGTTAAACTTTCAGCTTTTGTTCTTGATCACCAGGAATGTTTCTCTTTTCTCTGGACACCATGGCTCCTCAGACCTTCCCTCAGTGAAAATCTCCTTCAGGTCCAAATTGTGAGTGCAAAGCACTGGTTTGCAGCATACCATTTTGCTGGGTAATTATCCATTGAGAAGTTGGACCATTTTTGTTTCCTGGTAGACCCTGGGATGTGGTCTCTCTGAAACACCATAGTAAGGGATTTAGGACCTGGAGGAGCCCTCAGTGGGGCTCTGTGGAGAGTCTGGAACCTTCTGGGCAAACACATATCCTACCTAGATGAAATAGAAGAGCGGCAAATTCTGCGACCTTCCTTGTTGTCCCTACTTGTGGAATTTGGGCGTCAGATCTTCCTAAATGCTGGAAAGATTTCATAATCATTCTTTGTGCTAACATATCTAACACATGTGAAAAAAACCTATTGAAGACTTTCATTATCAGTTACTAGAATTCCTTTATTCTTTCTGGACAGTATTAGTTTTCTGTCTCTCCTCCACAGTGGTATGTCTCTCAGTTGTCCCTTGTCGAGTGTTACATGCCCTTTGGGATCATAATGCCACGTTGACTGTTAGAGACCATAGGCCATTATGATAATCATTTCACAGACTATGGCTTTGGCGCTTTATTGTTTAAAATGTGCACACACGTGTTATCTAGTTTGTTTCTGGCAGCCAGAACAGCAGGCAGGGCAGATACCTAGGAAATGTGGACTTTGCCAGGCTGTGAGGTTCACATGCTGCTCTTCCACTCACTTTAAGCGACTTCCTGCTGGTGCTTCATTTTCCTCTTCTGCAGAATGGGGCCAATAACCACATCTCCTTAGAGAGTAATTTAGGGGATTGCGCACATGTTAATGTATTTGCAGAACCACGAAGAGCACCCAGCACCAGGCAAACACTGCAAATTCAGCTGTTCTTGTTATTGGTCTTCCTCTTTTTATATTTGAGGAAATAGACATTCACAGAGGTCCTCCGCCCTCACGAGTCTTGTATGAAGTAAATAGTCAACAGAGATATCCGTTTCCTGAGTCCAGATCCATACAGTGGACACAATGATGGGCTGGCTGTCCAAGAAGATGATTCATTTGGGTCTGCCCCTTGAGTCATGTGACATGGGTGTGCCCCCTAACCACTTTGACAACTTAGGGTCTTACTTCCTTTTCCACCCATCTCCCAAGGCTCTACAGGTCCCATAAGCATAGACTCCATCTACATCATAGGCCAGTTAGTATTATTGCTTAGTTAAGTTGACTCATTCAGAGCAAATCTGTACCTGTTGACAGTGAACTTATTTGGGACTACTTCCTTGGCTCTCTGAGGATTTTAAGGAGAAACGCTTGTTCTGTGCATTCAAGCTTGCTAGAGAGAGAGAAATTCAGCGATGAATCCTGTGTATGTGGTCACTGGGAATGTGACCTATGAGCTGAGATGCTTTACCTTCTTGGATGTGAAGATATGGCTGGCTTTGTGCTGGACCACACCAGGTTCCAAGTCTGTTTGGTTTTCTTGGGCAAGGTTTGCAGACAGATGAGCTTTGCCTGTGAATAGTGACTGAAAAACAAATGCTCAGCTTGGACTTAAGTTTTGTAGTAGCCATTTATGCTATTATCATTGCTACAGTTATTGAATTTGGAGGTCTTACATAAACCAACTTAAACAAATTCCTTAGATATGTTTGTCAGACACCACAAAAGTAAGCTTAATGTAAGAAATGTAAGTTTGTGTACATACAAGTTTGCATAATCACTGGATTAACTATCAAATGCTGTAATGCTGAAAATTATTTGTAGTTTTGTTGTTGCACCACAGCATTTTGAGGGAAGAGACTGCCTCTAGAGGTTCTAGCTAGGATGGGCCTTCATCAGTGTAACATGACTACCCTCTAGTGTTCGCAAAGAGAATACTCATTTTTAAAAATCTTGAATTGTTCCACAATGACATTTATAGGTACTTTACATTTTAGAAAACCATGCAATCATTAGGCAGTTAGTGTAGCGAACACACCCATGAGACAAGCAAAGCAGAATAAAAAGTTAAGATCCATCATTTCTTTTCTGAAAAGTTGCATAGTAGTTTATGGATATTCTTTAATGCAGCTTTTGAGCCAGACATTTATGGCCATTTTGTGGGCGATTATAGTGAATTTGTACTGCTTTTTGAACGACTTGGTTTGTGACATGGTGTCACCAAGATATGAGGTTCCCACACAGCAAGTTTAGGACATCCTTGAGAACAAATGCTCTCTGGTCAGGGCTCGCTAGAAACTGACAATCTGTCATGGTGAGGTTGGTTTCTTTACAGAGACAAACCACATACAGTTCTCAATTTCTTCTAAAGTTCTGGAAAAATCAGTGCTGTATGTAATTGTGTGGTCAACTCGGGCCCAGTGAGACACACATCTGCAGAGTTAGAACATTAATAGGCATGGAGATACAGCTGGTAACGTCAGAGTAGTGGTTATGCGCCCTTGTGTCTAATTCCAGCACTTTCTAACGAGATCACTAGGGACAACGATTTATCAACCTTCCTCTCAGGAAAATGGGCTCAGTCATGAGCATAGGCATGTCACGTGGAGGGAAAGCATAGCTTTATGTGTTAGTGATGATGATGGAAATGATGTCATCCAAGGCCCCCAAAGGCAAATGGCTGCATTTGTCAAAGGCAGAATTGGACTCTGATTTTCATAAAATAAATTGCAAGTAGACAGAATGTCTTATCAACTATTAAAGTATAAGCAGGAATTTGGAACAAATTAAGTTACTAAAACTCCTGGAATGTGTTGAAATGGACAGCTAAACATGAAAACCAAGTTTTCCTTCTATTACTTAATGTTACTTGTGTGATACTACTTCAAAAAAGCTCGTGGAAAATGCACTTTATGAAAAAAAGTGGATTTCCAATTACTTTTGCATTCAAATACACTTAACCCTTTAATTACGTTTTTTCCACTAACTTTTTGAAGTACTCTTGGATCTTAGAGGAGGAAATTTCTTCAATTTAAGGTTTTAGGCAGGATTCTAGCTCTATAAATGTTAAAGGCAAATTTGAATTGATTACTAATGTTTAAAAGTTGAGAGATTTCAACCCAACTCCTGGCTTCTCTTGAAAATTAAAAGTTCTGAAAACACCAGGGCATATTCCACCATAGCAGCTGTACATAGGCTGGAGCATGGCTGTTGCCAGCATCTACACCCCAGGTCACCACAGTCCTTACTCCTCCACGCTGATGTGGTATATCATTTTCTGTTTTCCATATTTGTATTGCATGTTTTCACATAGTAAGGGTAGCAACAAATTCTTGATTCATGTTCATTATATTTTATAATACTACTAATTAGCAAATTTTTTTGTACAGTAGATTTTTTGGCCTTGTGAGGATCACAGGTGGTGTATGTTCTCTGTTGCAGTTAATCATCTTTGCCCTTGTGGTGCAAAAGCAGCCCAGATTAAATATAAACCCATGGCCATGGTTGTGCATGTGCTAATAAAACCACAAGGGCACTTCAAAAAATTCGTGGAAAAAAATAGCACATACTTTCCATGAACTTTTTGAAGATCCGCCTATTTACAAAATCAGGGTTTGGCATATGGGCTGGAGCTTGTCTATGCCTGATCTATATTAGCTACCTAGCCCCTTTGGCCATTTGGCTTTTGAATCTCTCCTTCAGGCATTTTCTCCTCCTAATACTGACTTGATTTTGTCAAGGCGGATCCGGCATATCTCAACGGGGATGTTTGTACTGAGAAGGTGCATGAAAATTAACTTATATACATTTAGATCTGGGCCATTTTTTTTTTTTTTAAACCTTGTAAGCTATCACTTAACCTTTCACTGTGCCTGGTGTGAGGGGATGTGAATGGACCCTGCTAAGGGCACCCTGTGCTCCAGCCTTATCTAGAGATGCTGGCCATGTAATCTCTCGGGAGCCTCGCCATCAGAAGCAAACGTAATCACCTACTTCATCACAATGTAATATAGCTGAATGAAAACCTATGGGATAAATTAGAGGAATTACTGACATCTCTCCTTGTCTACAGCCAGGAGATGGATAAATTCCAAGTTAATTATTCTCTTTGAACTTGTTAGTGTTTTGCCCTGTGACCTTGCTTTGTATGAATTTGATTGTAAGCACATGAGGAAGGATGAGATGTGAGATGTGAAATAGGTCTCCAGCCTACCTTCCTCCTAAAAGTCTGTGAGGATTATATAATAAGATCGGGCTGCTACAGATGGATAAGCCATATGTAATAAGGTCACTAAGATGGAAAAAGTGGAGAAAGGAGGAAAGCAATTAAATGTAAGCAAATGTGTCATTGAATAGGAACATTTGGCTTTCAGCATTTTGGCTGAATGGCCAAGAGGGCAGAGAATGGAAGGTGAATCTCACAACGACTACATTATCATAGCATATATAACTCATTTTATACTTAATATAACCACTTTTGCAGTAACATTGTAAAGTCCTGCCAGTGCAATGGGGTGTTTTGTTATGGGGTGCCAGGCCTCTGAGAATGTGCCTCATTGGGTGAAAAATACAACCTTCGAACATGATAAAAGGAAGACGTGTCCCCCAAGGAAGTTGCTATTATGAAGCTTTATGTTGGGGTAAGCCCCTGATAAGAAGAATATGTTGGAATTTTGTAGGGTGCATGGCAGACTTCTAAAAGACAGTCTTCATCTTACTAATTGTAATAGTCTCCATTTATCAGGTGCTTTCAGTCACAGCATGTCATTATATGGAAGGCATTTTCCCATATTATAGATAAAGGAGAGGAGACTGACTTGCTAATGTCATAAAATGGCAGAGTTAGAACTTTAAGCCATTTGCCCCCAACATGTGTTTTTAACTCCTGAGCTTCACTTCTCACTTCGTGAATATTGATCACTTAATAGAAATAAGGGAAGATGCCGCTGCAGCACTGTCGAAAACAAAATAACATGAACCACAGTATGAATTGCATGTAATCTTTTTTTTATGTTTTATCTTCGGACAGGCAGAGTGGATAGTGAGAGAGAGAGACAGAGAGAAAGGTCTTCCTTTTTTGCCATTGGTTCACCCTCCAATGGCCGCCGCGGCCGGTGCACTGCGACCGGCACATCGCGCCGATCCAAAGCCAGGAGCCAGGTGCTTCCCCTGGTCTCCCATGGGGTGCAGGGCCCAAAGACTTGGGCCATCCTCCACTGCACTGCACTCCCGGGCCATAGCAGAGAGCTGGCCTGGAAGAGGGGCAACCGGGAGAGAATCCGGCACCCCGACCGACCGGGACTAGAACCCGGTGTGCCAGCGCCGCAAGGCGGAGAATTAGCATATTGAGCCGCGGCGCAGGCCATGTAATCTTAAATCTTCTGGTAGCCAATTTAAAAAGGAAAAAAGAATTCAGGTGAAATTAATTTTAACAATTTAAATGGTCTCAGATTTACAGTGGTTCAATTAGGATGTTACAGCTTTATGTGAAAGAAATACACATGCAGTAAGAAACCACAGATTTGAATTTTGAATTTTGATCCTTTCCTGGGCTAGTGACACATGATTATCTTGCATGATGCTGGGCAGCAGAAGGGAACTAAATAACACATGCTCTACAGCGTGCTGTATTGCTAAGCTAGCTTGTTCAGTAGGTTCCATTTATTGAATGCATTTTCAACTTACGGGGTTATTGGGATATAACCCTATCATAAATTGAGAAACATCTGTATATGGGTGCTTCAAAAATTTCATGGAGAATGGAATTAAAAATAAGTTTTTATTGTGGTACAAAAAATATTTGAAGTCCGTGAATGGCTTTTTTTCTTATCAGATCTCCATGAACTTTTCGAAGACCCCTCTACCCATGGATTTCAATTTTTTTTCTCCAAAGTAAACTTTAATTCCACTTTTCTACACACTTTTTGAAGTTCTCTCAAGCAGTTTAAACTGCTGGGTATGAAATGTTATTTCATCATATAAAATAGAAATGATTATTAATTAAATATTCTACATCTTTATACTATTTTCAATATCCAGGTGTGTTTTATATACTCACAGTTCATCTCAATTTGGCCTGGCTACATTGTAATGCTCAATACATACATGGCTACAGGTTACCATATTGGACATTACCACTTAATTGATGGGAATACTCAAGTCTTTTTTACACACTGAAGTCTTTTTCTACTTTTAATTTATATGAAACCCAAGCCCAGTGAAGAAATTTTATATTTTTGTCCTTCATAATAACCAAGCATCATCATTTATCATTTATCTGCCCCTGCTGGGTGTGAGTCTAGTGCCTCCCACCAGTTTGCAGCTGCGGCGATTCTCTTGTTCATTTGTGTCATCTTTTGTGTGTTTCAGGTGACCCAGGCCCTGCCAGCTACGGGAGAAATGGCCGGGATGGCGAGCGAGGACCGCCAGGGGTGGCAGGAATTCCTGGTGTGCCTGGCCCTCCAGGTCCTCCTGGCCCTCCTGGTTTCTGTGAGCCAGCTTCTTGCACCTTGCAGGCGGGTCAGCGGGCATTTAGTAAAGGGCCTGATCAGTGAGGGGCTTAGTACCATGCGGCCGTTTGCAGAATCCACACTTGGTGAAGGAACTTGGCAGAGGACCACCCCCAAGCCCCCAGAGCTGGGGCAAAGATGACAGTGTATTATGTTCAACGTGATTACGGAAGTCCTACAATCATATCTAGAACAATGGTGCTATTCAACAAGTCCTCTTTCCTTTCTCTTGGGAAGAAGATAGAAGATTCTTTTTTTTAAGTGAAAGCAAAACCAAAAACCTCCCTTTAGATAAATGATAAATTTACAATCCTCTTCCTAAGGTCTTGAACTTTAGTGTGCTATATACATACGTGATTTATAGTGGGCCACTGTGCCAATAAACAAAAATAACTGTTTGGTTTACCTCAGTTGCAGTAGTTATTTTAATTTTCACTTGGATGTTGTTCTCAGATTATTTCAGTTATATGGAGGCTTACTAGACTGGTTATAAAGAAACCCCACTGTGTATAAGAGAATGGTGCTTAACATCCCCATCAATGTGCTCTCAAGAGTGGCAATAAAGAGCTGTGTCACCCAGAATGATTTCCTTATATCTCATGTTGGTTTTCATCTTGAGCCTGAATTTTTGTTGAACTGTATGTACTGTACTCCAAACTTGTTAATATCTTGAGCTCTTCTCTGTGAAAGTAAAGAAGAAATTTTAATATCCTGGCAATCGTAAGTTTTATTGATGAGTTTATTTATTTTTAAAGGGTTGAGGTAACATCGCTGGTTGTACCAAAGAAAAAATAAATATGGTTTCTTAATATCTTGGATGTTCTCTTATAATTAAGGTGTTCAATGAAAAGAAGTCACTGATCTTATTTACATACAATAAAATTTGTAATTGCTGGTATTTCCATAGGTAAAAATTTTTAATATATTATTTATTTATTTGAAAGGCAGAGTTACAGAGGGGAGAGAAATGGATCTTTGACTTGCTGGCTCACTCTCCAGAAGGCTGCAATAGCCAGAGCTGGGCCAATCTGAAGCCAGGATCCAGGATCTTCTACCAGGTCTCCCATGCAAGTTCGGGGGCCCAAGCACCTACCTGGGCATCCTCTGCCACTTTGCTAGACACATGAGCAGGGAGCTGGATCAGCAGTGCAGCAACTGGGACCGGAAGCAGCACCTATATGAGATGCAGGCACAGCAGACGGTGGCTTTACCCAGTATGCCGCAGCACTGGCCCCAAGATTTTTAATATTAATGCTTTCTTCTACACAAAGAAATTAAGTTTTTTAAAAAAGCCCTTTACTCTTCTATGGAGGGTGTTCCACTGTGACAGATACTGTGTGCTTTAGTGTGCACGTGTGTATTGTGAGAGGCTAGCTTCATGGACCTTCATGAAATTCTAATGAAAACTATGGAACCATCTCCCATATTATGCAGATTGCATTGCATAGTGTTGGAGATTTTGTAGACTTGTAAGTCCAGCCTCAGTTGGTCTCTAGGTTAAGAACCACAATGTCTTCATTTCAGCAGTTTGTAAGCTCCATTTACCAGAATTTTATGACTGAAGAAATAATTTGTTTCAGCATTCTTAGAAATTTCATAAGGCAACTCAGTTAAAATAGTGTATTCTTAACAATAAGATTGGGTATTTCCTGACATTTCCAGTACTTTATTACTCTTTGTATAGTCACATTGGATTGCTGTTTGATCAACATCACTTTATGTCACTGTGTATATGAATGACCTGTACCAGGGAATAGAACAGAAGCTCAAAATAGTCAATATGTTCATTTAGTTTATGGCTCTCAGTTCCCTAAAGGGATTTTTAAAATATGAATTTCTTCTCCCATGTGTACTTTCATGCATTTTAAAATTCTAGTCCTAGTTGTTTGCTTAAATCAATCATGGTACAATCCACATTTGAGTTTCTTGAAAAACTGCTTACACCATCCAATACTATGCCTCTAGCATGAATTGTTCTTAAGAAGCAAGATTCTGATCTGTGCCTTTTCCATAGACGGAAAAGATGTTATTCCTCCCACTTGGAAGAACAGTTTTGGAAACGGAGCCGTCTGCTTGCAATGTTTTGCATATTTGTCCTCTAGAGGTTTGTTTCTGCCAGCTTAGTCTCCAGTGTGGTGATCTGAGGTGGTGGAACTGTTCAGAGGTGGGGCATTTAGAAGGTAAGTAGGTCCTGGAGTAACCACTCTTTTTCCTGTTCTGTGTTTTTAAAAATTGATTTAACATACATGAATTTCATGTATTTCCCATATACAGATTCAGGAGCATAGTGATACTTTCTACCCTCCACTCCCTCCTGCCCACACTCCTACCCTTCCTCCTCCTCCTTCCCCTACTGCCACTCTTAATTTTTACAACTATCTACTTTCAGATTACTTCATACTCCTAAGATTAACCCTACACTAAGAGTTCAACAAAAATATGAAGAAAAAAACACTGTTCCTCAACAAGAGGAACAAGGGCTGTGAACAATCATTGAATGGATAAATCTTAAAAAAAAATCATTGAATCTCAAAATGTCAGTTTTACTCCTATACACTACATTTTAGGTACTCTATTATCACAGATCAAGGAAAACATACAGTATTTGTCTTTTTGGGACTGGCTTATTTCACTAAGTATAATGGTTTCCATTTGCATCCATTTTGTTGTAAAAGACATGATTTCATTTTTTTAAACGACTGAGTAGTATTCCATAATGTATGTATACCATAATTTATCTAGTCCTCAGATGATGGGACATCTGGGTTGCTTCCATATCTTAGCTATTGTGAATTGAGCTGCAATAAACATGGGGGTACAGATGACTCTTTCATATGGTGATTTCATTTGAGTAAATTCCTGGGAGTGGGATAGCTGTATCATACGGTAGGTCTATAGTCAGATTTTTGAGGTATTTCCTTACTGTCGTCTATAGTGGCTTCACCAGTTAAAATTGCCACCAACAATGGATTAGGGTACCTCCCGTCCTTGTCAGCATTTATTGTTTGTTGATTTTTATATGAGAACCATAATAACTGGGGTGAGGTGAAACCTCATTGTGGTTTTGATTTGCATTTCCCTGATGGCTAGTGATCCTGAGCATTTTTTCATGTGTCTATTTGCCATTTGGATTTCCTTTTGGTCTTCTTTTACCACTGGTTCACCCTCCAATGGCCACTGCAGCCGGCGCACCGCGCTGATCTGAAGCCAGGAGCCAGGTGCCTTTCCTGGTCTCACATACGGGTGCAGGGCCCAAGCACTTGGGCCATCCTCCACTGCACTCCCGGGACAGAGCAGAGAGCTGGCCTGGAAGAGGGGCAACCGGGACAGAATCCGGTGCCCCAACCGGGACTAGAACCTGGTGTGCCGTCACCACAGGCGGAGGATTAGCCTATTGAGCCACGGCGCCGGCTGAATTTCCTCTTTTGAGAAAAGCCTGTTCAAGTCCTTTACCCATTTTGAAATTGGATTCTTTTGTTGAATTTCGTGAGCTCTTTGTACACTATGGATATTAATCCTATATCAGTTGCATAGTTTACAAATAATTTCTCCTGTTTTGTCGGTTGCCTCTTCCCTCTCCTGAGTGCTTCTTTTACAGTGCAGAAGCTTCTCAATTTGATGTAATCCCATTTTTCAATTTTGGCTTTGATTGCCTGTGCTTCTGGAGTCTTTTCTAAGAACTCTTTGCCAATACCAATGTCTTGCAGGGTTTCCTCAATGTTCTCTATGATTTGATAGTATTGGGTCAGTTGTAAATTTAGGTCTTTGATCGATTTTGAGTGGATTTTTGTGTAAGGTGTAAGGTAGGGGTCTTGCTTCATACTTCTGCATGCAGAGATCAAGTTTTCACAGTGCCGTTTTTTGAAGAAACTGTCCTTGCTTCAGGGATTGATTCTAACTCCTTTGTCAAAGATAAGTTGGTTGTTGATGCATGCGTTGATTTCTGGAGTTTCTATTCTGTTCCATTGATCTATCTATGTGGTATTGTACCAGTACCAGGCTGTTTTGATTATAAATGACCTGCAGTATGTCTTGAAATCTGGTGTTATGATGCCTGATGATGTTTTTGTTGTATAAGATTGTTTTAGCTATTCAGTGTCTCCTGCATTTCCATATGAATTTCAGCATCATTTTTCTATATCTGAGAAGAATGCCTTTGGTATTTTGATAGCTATCACATTGAATTTGTAAATTGCTTTTGGTAGTATGAATATTTTGATTATATTGATTCTTCCAATCCATGAACATGGAAGATTTTTCCATTTTTTTGTATCTTCCATTTCTTCAATGTTTTCTAATTCTCCTTGTAGAAATCATTGACCTCTTTGGTTAAATTTATTCCAAGGTATTTGATTTTTTTTTGTAGTGTTGTAAGTGTGGTTGATCTTAGAAGTTCATTCTCAGGCACAGCATTGTCTGAGTATACAAAGGCTGTTGATTTTTGTTTGTTAATTTTATATCCTGTCACTTTACCAAACTCTTCCATGAGTTCAGTAATCTCCCAGTGGCTTCTTTTGGATGCCCTATGTATAGAATCATGTCATATGCAAATAGGGATAGTTTGACTTCCTCATTCCCAAGTTGCATTGCTTTGATTTTTTTTCTTGCCTAATGACTCTGCTGAAACTTCCAGGACTATAATGAATATCAGTGGTGAGAGGGGGCATCCTTGTCTGGTTTCAGTTCTCAGTGGAAATGCTTTGAACTTTTCCCCTTCAATAGGATGCTGGAGGTGGGTTTGCCATAAATTGCCTTGATTGTTTTGAGGAATGTTCCTTCTTTATGCAATTTGCTTAGAGTTTTCAAAATGAAATGCATTGTATTTTATCAAATGCTTTCTCTGCATCTATTGAGATAATAATATGGTTTTGTTCTTCAATTTGTTAATGTGATATATCACTTTGATTTGCTAATGTTGAACCTTCCCTGCTTAACAGGGATGAATCCCACTTGGTCCAGGTGACTAATCTTGCTGATGTGTTGTTGGATATGTTTGGCTAGTATTTTGTTGAAGATTTTTGTGTCTATGTTCATCAGGGAACTTGGTCTGTAGTTCTTTCTCTTTTGTTTCTTTTTTAGGTTTAGGAATTAAGGTGATGCAGGCTTTATAGAAGAAGTTTCAATTGTTTTGAACAGCTTGAGAAGAATTGTAGTTTTTTTTTTGAACTTGTATTTTTGAAGTTTATATTAATTAAATAAAACTTTTGGATTATAGTGTATTTTACCCCCATAAACACTCTCCCACCCGCAAACCATCCCATCTCCTATTCCCTCTCCCATCCCATTCTTCATTAAGATTCATTTTTAATTATATACAGAAGATCAATTTAGTATATACTAAAGATTTCAAGTTTGTACCCACACAGATACACAAAGTATAAAGTACTGTTTGAATACTAGTTTTACCATTAATTTGCATAGTACAACACATTAAGGACAGAGATGCTATATGGGGAGTAAGTGCACAGTGACTCCTGTTGTTGATTTAACAATTGACACTCTTATTTATGACGTCAGTAATCACCCGAGTCTCTTGTCCTGAGCTTCCAAGGCTATGGAAGCCTCTTGAGTCCACAAACTCCGATATTATTTACACAAGGCCATAATCAAAGTGGAAGTTCTCTCCACCCTTCAGAGGAAGGTACCACCTTCTTTGATGGCTGGTTCTTTCCACTGGGATCTCACTCACAGAGATCTTTCATTTCAGTCACTTTTTTGCCACAGTGTCTTGGCTTTCCATGCCTGGGAAACTCTCATAGGCTTTTAAGCCAGATATGAATGCCTGAGGGCTGATTCTGAGGCCAGAGTGCTGTTTAGGGCATCTGCCATTCTATGAGTCTGCTGTGTGTCCCGCTTCCCGTCTTGGATCGTTCTCTCCTTTTTATTTCTATCAGTTAGTATTAGCAGACACTGGTCTTGTTTATGTGATCCCTTTGACACTTAATCCTGTCTTTATGATCTATTATGAACTTAAACTGATCACTTTAACTAGTAAGATGGTATTGATACATGCCACCTTAATGGGATTTGGAATCCCATGGTACATTTCTAGTTCTACCATAAGGGGTAAGTCCGAGGGAGTGTGTGCTGAACTGTACATCTCCTCCCTCTCTTATTCCCACTCTTATTTTTAACAGGGATCAATTTTCATTTAAATTTAAACACATAAGAATAATTGTGTGTTAAAGAGTTCAACCAATGGTATTATGTAAAACAAGAAAATACTAAAAAGAATAAAATAGTAAGCTGTTCCTCAATAGGACAAGCACTGATAAAGTCATTGTTTCTCATAGTGTCAGTTTCACTTCTACAGGTTTCCTATTAGTAGTTCTTTAAATGTTTGGTAGAATTCAACAGTGAAGCCATCCAGTCCTGGGTTTTTCCTTGTTGGGAGGATCTTTATGACTAATTCAATTTCTATCTTGGTTAATGGTCTGTTTAGGTTTTGTATGTCTTTATGGCTCAATTTAGGTAGGTTGTATGTGTACAGGAATCTATCCATCTCTTCTAGGTTTCCTGGTTTGTTGGCATACAGCTCTTTGTAGTAATTTCTGGTGATTCTTTTTGTCATGTCTGTTGTTACATTTCCTTGTTCATATTTAATTTTATTGATTTGGGTCTTCTCTCATTTTTTGGTTAGTTGGGCCAATCTGTGTCAATTTTAGTTTTTCAAACTCCAGCTCTTTGTTTTGCTGGTATTTTATATTGTTTTTGTGGTTTCAATTTTGTTTATTCTCTAATTTTGTTTTCTCCAACTAATTTTGGGTTTGGTTTGTTGTTTTTCTAGGTCCTTGAGATGCATTGATAATTCATTTATTTGGTGCCAAATCTGTCTTCTAGATTGGATATTCTTTGCTTTGCCTCACTAAGTCTGTTAAGACTTCCCATCATATTTCTGACACACTAAAGTCTTCATTTTTAGTGTTTCATTTTTATTTCTCTTAATAATAATCAATTTCATGAGAGAATTTTTCATTTATGTCTCATGGATTTCTTTAATTCATAAATTTGCTTCTCATTGTTTATGAGTAATCCTATGATTATTCTTTTGAATTCCATTTCAGGCATTTTGTTAATCACTATCATTTTTACATTCTTATAATGAAGTATAATGTGTTCCTTTGGTGGGGTAGTCATGTTATCTTATTGTTTCTTGAAATTCTGCATTTATTTTTAGGCATTTGTGGAGATACTTGTCAATTTTTCCCTCTGATGGTTTTTATCCTCAAACTATGCATCTGTGGCTTAGTGTGGTGTCTGCTCTTTCAGTGAATACTCAGAGGCGTGTTCTGGGTGTGGCCAGGGAGCTCTTGTCAGTCATCTATGGTGGGATAGTTCTCTTTGTTGGTAGAAAAGAGAGCACAATTACCTCTGTTGGTGTAATCACATGCTGGTTCCTCTCTTCCAAGGTGATCAATGCCTGGGTGTTATCCCACAGTGGGTCTAATACTCAGCAGTGCTGGCTTAGAACCACACAAAGGATCTGTGCAGTTCTGAGTGTGAGCACGGATCCCACTGCAAATGACCCAGTTCAGGCAATCAGGGAGCTTTGAGCTCGTGAAGCCATGCACATTGATTGCTTGAAGCCCCATTTATACCCTGCACCCTCTCTTGCAGTCACAGAATTCCTACTGTCTCCACACGCAAGGCTCTCACAGTCATGGGGTACACAGGATGCACTCCATCCCACTAGTATGTCCTGACCGCAGAGAGGCAGAGGTATTCCCAGAGCAAGATGCCTGTGGGTGCTCTGCCTAGGCAATTTGAGACCTGGAGCCTGTGCTATGTTGAGAGGCTGGGGGCACCTCACAGTCTTACGTGGGTCCCAGCCCCTGTCATTCTTCCCAGACTGAAAGTCAGTAGGGAACATGGATTTTTCCTTGTGCTACGATCTCTGGATTACACACATGCACAAGAGCTGCCGGCCAAATGAGGCCTTCTTCCTGCCGGTTGCTGAATATGTGCACCTGTACTGCTGCCGCCAGTACTGCTGATGGCGTCTTGTCCCAGCCAGTTGTGGGCACATGCATGAGATTCCACAGCTGCTGCTTATGCCAAAAATGGTACCTGCTCTCTGTCTGTTGCTGATTGCCTTCGTTGGGGAGGAGATGGGGAGACAGAAATGTGCCCCCCCCTTTTTTCACTGGGTCAGCTGGAACCCTATCCCACTTAGGCCTCTTTAGGCCATGCTCTCCCTCTAGCTATACTGCCAGTGGCACAGGGTACTGCAGTCTGATCTCACCCCACTCTCCAGAAATGGTGCTTTCTCCAGCTCTTGGCTGCTGGGCTCATGTGTTGTCTGTGTTTTTGCCTTACATCCACACCTGCCTCACCAATCCATGGCATTCCTCTTCCTTCCATAGAAATTCCACTGTGTGTTTTTTTTTTTTTTAGTGGTTCTTTTTCTTTTTTTTTAAGGTTGATATATTTATTTGAAAGAGTTACAGAGAGAGAAGAGGCAGAGAGAGAGAAAGAGAGAGAGAGAGAGAGAGAGAGAGAGAGAGAGGTCTTCCATCCAATGGTTCACTCCCCAATTGGCTGCAATGGCCGGAGTTGTTCAAATCTGAAGCCAGGAACCAGGAGCTTCTTCCGGGTCTCCCACATGGGTGCAGGGGCCCAAGGACTTGGACCATCTTCTACTGCCTTCCCAGGCCATAGCAGAGAGCTGGATGCGAAGTGGAGCAGCTGGGTCTTGAACTGGCACCCATATGGGATGCCAGTGCTTCAGTCCAGGGCATTAACCTGCTGCGCCACAGCTCCGGCCCCTCCACTGTAGTTTTCTAACTCTCTCGAGAATGTACTTCCTACACTTTTACACATTATTTCTTTCAATATTTACCCCTAGCCTAGAGCAGAATGCTCTTCTCTGTTCTGCCATTTTGGAATATCCCCCTCGTCAGTCTCAAGATGGATTAATGCTGTCTGATGGGAGTGGGTCCTGTGAGAATGGGTTGTTGTGAGTGTGGCACACATCCTCTCTCTCCCTCTTGCAAATGCACCACTTGCTATTGTGATGTATATTGAAGTTCTCACCAAAAATGTACAGATGCTCCATACTTTTGAACCTCCAGAACTGTGAGTTAAGTAAACCTCTTTTATTTATAATATATAATGAATAATTATGACTAATGAATAATTATGCCAGGAGCTGTGACACATAATCAAATAATTGCAATGACATCATCTTTGACCAAAGTGCTTTTATTTGCACTGGAGTGACATAATAAAACAAAAGAAAAATCAGATAATGAAACATGTCTCTCAGTTCTATAATTCATAAGAAAATTAAAAAAATAAAATTTCAAAGAATAGTTAACTGTTTTACAAACCTGATATATATATATATATATATATATATGTATGACAATGAGCTCCATGAATACAGTAAGCAATATTGAAACTACCACTTACAAATAGATTATGTAAAACTAGCACTTTCCAAATGGTGGGAACAATCAATTATACATTTAATTAAGTGAAATAGTTTACAGAAACAAACACTTGAGAAATTGCAAAGAAAATTGACCAATAAATCCACTCCATTAAAGACAATTGATAAATACTGAATTAGATCAACCATATATTTCTACTAGCACAATTTCCAGATTCTGAGATATTTTAAGAAGTTGATGAAGTGACAACTCAAGCACTCTCCAAGAGAGAAGCATATAAATAGTTAGTTAGAATTTGGCATATTAATCAAGGGCAAATGATTTTTGATTTATTTCTAGTCAGTGCTTCCATGGCAGTATCATATGACTTTCACCCCAGATGTCAGGTTGGTAAAGAACTATGGAAATCACTTCCCAGTCTGAGCACATAAATTCCCTGGCATAGTTTGGGGTAATTGACTTCTATCTAGTGGAAGAGTATGAATACAAGTACTACTACCAAGTTTAATGACTGATTTAATTATTTATGGGTCCTTTATATTTTCAAGCTAATAATATAAGTGTATATATATAAGTATATATAATAATAGTGTAACTATTCTTAAACATCATTAATAAAAGCTGATTCATTTGTAACCTGAAATGAGCTCTGTACAAATTTCTCATTTAGAAAGTTGACCTCTGATTTTATTAATGTTGAGCTATAATGGTTTGTTTAAAGTACAAAAATCTGTTTAAAAATAAACTAACACATGTGAAAATTTTACTAGCGATACATAAAATCACTCCAAATATGAAAATTACTTTAAAATATTTTCTGGTAGCCCTGGAAAGAATAAAAAAAAATCTCAAAAACACATAGCACTGGCAAACTAGTATTCTTGTTGACAAATGGATGATGACTGTATGTGATATATTTTTAAGAAACATAGCTTGTCTTTTTTTTCAAATAGTAAAATATTTTTCACTTGTATTCTTACTCTTTCTTAGTGAATGTGTGATCTTGAACATTACAGTTATAGTACATATGGCTCAGTAAAAATTGATTCAAACTGGCTAAGTGTAATGCTACCTGTGAATAAATGACATGCTTAAATGCTCTTTAATCAATCAACTGGAGGAAGCATCGCGTATTTGATCTGGTATCAGCAAGAAGATGCTGACTGATAAATGGCAATTCATTCGAACATTCTGCTTGTCAGCCTTTGCACCTTGCTGTGCACTCCAAGTTTCCTATGAATAACTGCAGAGAACAAATGAAGAAAACCTGCTACCAGGTTTTTAGTTTCTTTTTCAGATTTATTTGAATGTCTTTGGCTTACAAGTTAAATTTGTATATGAAAAACAACATTCCTTGGAGAGCACCCAGTTACTTCATCATAAGGGGACCTGAAGAGAATAGTTGAGAGCTGAGTCATTACCTGGTCTCAATAGACACATAAGTCCCCTGGCATGTTTTGACGTAATTAACTTCTGTTAAGAAAATGTGCTTATGTATTTAACTACTTATTGCCTATTTTCTTATCACTAATGATTTAAGAGCTTATATTTTTAAGAAAAGTTAAGTGTGATATTTATTATCTCAGGGACTTCTGCAATAATGAATCTCAAATATTTTTAGTGAGGCCATCACTTTGGGAGGACAAAAGTCACAAAGGACTTGCTTCTTTTTGATCTTTGTTTGTGCTTATAATTCTTATCTACAATCATTAGATGAGATTCGTTATGAGCTGCCAAGGAGATGGGTAAAAATTTTATTGCAAGGTGAGCAATGATTCATGTTGCAGGCAAAATCATAACTACCATGGATCCTCAACTAGAGGAATTCTAGGTTCACTGGACACCTGTGGGACTTCTCTCTTGCGTGAGAGCACTCTGGGGGCACTGCTGTGGTTGAGACCTAACACAATGGAACTGACAGGTGGCGCTTCAGCCACAAGAAGTGGTGAAGAGCAGACAGAGCATGAATGACTGCCCCCTAGAATTCCCTGATTGAAGGTCAAATCCTTTATTGCTGAGATAGGCGACAAGCTCATTATGCATGATGAACATAGAGGAATCAAGGCCTCAAAGCATTATATCCACATGGCATTCTGAATAAAACTAGTCCATTGCATTTAACATTGAATATATTGAATTATTCTAAATAGTTTGAGGTACAATAGAAAATACATACCCTTTAAAAATAAAGTCACAAAATATGCCATAATGCAATCTGAATTTAAATACATTAATACACTGAAAAATCCTTATACTTTAAATAAGTCAGCAAAATAAAATGGTATAAAATAGCTAGAATCTTGACACTCATAATCTTATTATGGTTCAGCAACACACTTTAATCTTAAATCTTATTTAACTACTCCCTCAGTTTAGTGGAAACCTCCCATTAGTATTTACTTTTGACAAATTCATGAATTAAGTAGCTAACTCCTTCAGTTGTACCATGAATCACTCAGTATTGAATCTGAGCTTGAAATTTTCTTCTAGTTCAATTTTTTTTGTAGACTTAGTTTTGGTGTTATAAGCCTGTCTGAGCTTTCAGGTAAATTTTTACTGTGCTGGGTCTAGTTGTCTGAATGACTTTTTTATGTCTTTATCTAGTGCTTCACTCAATTTAAGCAAACTGATCACTTACTCTGGCTACACCACAGAATATAGAAATGAACACAACTGTTTGTTCTGTTTCCTGAGAGTCCTAGTAGTTAAATAAATTTAATCAATGCAACTTCTATCAGCCAAGTAATAAACAAACACAATTCAATGGGAAAAGTCACTTTGAAGTACATAGGCATGAAAATACAAATTGAATTCTTTCCTGCATTTTCTCCCCTTTGGAGCATAATCTTTATGAGTAGAGAAAATCCAAAGGGGGAGTGCATGCCTCAATGCTATTTAATACCCTAAAGTATTGAATAACAACACTGGGACACCATGAAAGTAAACACTTGTGTCTTAACAAGGTGGCTACAAACAAGTGAAAAAAAAAACTTAAGGAAAAAAAGCAATGAACAAATCTGCGAAAACTATTCTGAAGATTCATTAAAAGAACCTCAGTATAAGACTTAATGTAGAATTCTCAGTTTCAGGATACTATTGTTCCTGTTAGTAAAATGATATTTTGAAAAACTGTTCCCAATCTTTAGTTTGTAAGTACATATTTCTAGAAAAATACACAATCACACAAATCTAACTGTAAAATTTGAAGTACCTTGAACCATGTGGAATTTGGTGTATAATTTTATAAATTGTCACATCTTGTGATAAGCTAAACTCTCTTTTCCTCATCTGTCAAAAGAGTATATCATGTCTAAAAGGTAGAATGATTACTCAGGTTTCACCAAAATAGGAGGGTGTTATACAGTTACAAGTAGTATATGCATACATTAACTAGGTAATAAATTATGTGTCTACTGAAGAGAAAAAAATGAAACTGTCATTCGAAGGCTATTGTGCCTGCTTCAAATATACTTAAAGTTAGGAAGAAAACACCATAAACTAATAAAAACTTATAAAAGTAAAAGTGCAAGGGCCTGATTGAGCTGTCCACTAAACTGTTCCTATGTTTGTATTTCTGCCATTCTGTTCAGTTTCCAAACAAAATTGTTTTAGACACCATCTTGTGGACAAAAGGAGGTATATCATAGGTTCCCAACAGATGAGACTGCAGAAAAGCTACACCCTATTTAATGCCTAAAACATTCAAAAATTACCTTAAATCAAACAATAATTTTTATAGACAATATCTTAATATAAATTCTGTAATTGACCAAAATTTTAAGGTTTCAACAATGTCATGAAATACAGAAATAAACATGAGATTATTCTGAGGTTATTAATTAACTTATGTTAATCACAAGGTGAAAATATTCAAAAGGTTAAGACTGGCTATGTTTCCTTTATGTTTGGAGTAGTGGTTAAAGTCTTCATTTAGAAAAAAAAAATGAGAAAACTGAAAAAACTCCCTTTTTCTTTAGATTCCAAAGGCCATAAACACTAATTGAAGCCATACTTTTTTCTTTGCATAGAAAAACTTCTATCTGAAAGTGTTAATTGATCTTGGCACAAAACATGAGGCTGGAATTTAAACTACTTTTACATGAACAAGTTTTTATATAAATTGTCGTCATGGCCATGATTTTGTATTTAAACACATGTTGTCTGTAGTACAAATGAGGTACTTTGGGAAATTTGATAGTTATTCTCCCCTGCTGTGGACATCACTGATATCTATGTGGAAGTAAACAACTGTTTTGGAATGGAACACAACGGTACAAGAGATTTGGCAACCACTAAGTTATCTGGAAGAAAATTTCCCACCCTACTTAGGGACCCAGATTATCCCCCTCTCTATTAAAGGAACTGGACAACTGCCAAATCTCCACTTCATTTGATGCTTTATCGTTTGGACCCAGTGTTTCTTGCTGCTCTTTGTTGCATATCATGTGTAGAAAACTCGGGCAGAAAATAGTGGAAGGTAAATAATACAGTAGGGTGAGAGAAGCTTGTTCCATACACACATAGCCCTATTTCTCTCGTTATTTCAGATTTATGTATATGTTCCAATTATAAAAAGAGCTTAAATCATTGTAATAGTCCTTTGTAATATGTGTCACACAACCTAATGTTCCTGCTTTCCTCCTTAGCTCACCTGAATAAGCCAGTCAAGCATTTGTGGAATTAAAAAAGAATTCTAAATATACAATTTGTAAGAAAGGGTGGATGACATAATCTGTAAAAAATGTACAGAATTTATAAAACAAAATGTTATGTATGTGCACCAACTCAAAAAATACATTGATCACTGTCAGAAAAACAGTTCAAGAAAATATTAAAATGGTAAGATATTTTTGAATCAGCAGAGTTAAAATGATAAACAATCTATGAAAAAATAACCTTTGAAAACATAATGTTTATATGATAAATTCAAGTAAATAAGAGTAGCAAATTCTAAGCTTTCAGAAAATTTGGCAAATTATAAGCTCAAGATATACATATAGCACCAAATTTTAGATCTATGTACATTTTTTAGGGATAAATTATTTTTACTAAGAAAACATGTATATTCCAATTGTGTAATTTTAAAATACAGCACCATTGTAGGTATTGCACAGGAAAGAAAATGAATAAAATCAATTTAAAACACTTAAATAAAATAACCGTGGAAAATAAATAAACTCAGAATTGAAATATACAACAAAATTCAATATGAAATAACCAAAAGGTTGTTTGTACACACAACCATGTAGACAGTACCTGACCAGCAGTTAGTTCATTTATCTATAATGAAAACCAGTTCAGAGCATGGGTGCATTTGAATAAACCCTTTCTTCATTTAGGCATGCTCCCTTAGACACAAATTTGTGTTCATAGTTTTGTCCACTTTCAGTGGGCTTGCTTTTTTGAACTCACTCTTTAATTAACAGACCAAAGTGAAGATCCTACCCTGCACTTGGCAAATTGGAATCTGCACTGCTCCTTGGAGAGCTGTGAACCGATTTCTACAACAGGATGGCTCCGTTGTCTTGCTCTCAACGTGGCAGGAACCCACAGCTGGATTTTAACAACATTCTCATTTGTTTTCAGCCAACACTTTACCTAAATAACGTACAGACAGGCAATGAACATTCCCTTTAGTAATTTGGTTGATGACTTTGCATTTTTGCTTCCTTGGAAGATGTAGTTTTGAAATGAGTGTTAACTCTTTGGTCTGTGTGCAGGCTGCAGGTTCAGTCCTATGGTTTTCCTTTGTCGTGCTCCTGCTGCAGCCTTGCAAGAAAGACCATTTCTCCTTGAGAGCTTTTGGGTTTCACCTTGTCAGTGCATGTTTGCTAACATCACCCTTTCATCTTCTAGGGATTGTAAATCCCATTCTTGGTTTTGATGGTCGTTTCTTGTTTTAGAGTCCGAGGGTGATGAGGTCAGAAGGAGGCTGGATAAGAGGGGTCCAAAGTTCCTGCCAGGCCAGTTAAGCTTCAAGAGTACCAAAGACAGCCTGGTGCCTTCACTATCCAACACTGCTTAGGGGAAATAGTTTCCTGTTTTTACCAAATGGGAAACACAGTGATGGGACCACAGGACGTTAAGTTTTGCTCGTGGAACTTCTATACAATCGGAATTTGTTTCTTTTCATGCAGTATGTGTTTAGGTCAGTGCCAATAGCTTTGAATACAGCTCATGATAAAGAATTAAATCATTTCAGTAGTTTGTTATCGTGTTTTTGGAGCTTCCTGATAAAATAGTCTCCTGTATTTTTTCCAAAGAATGAAGTTCTTATTGCCTATCTACTTTTTGGCTGAAGTAGGATGGTATAAGAATTCTCAAGTTGTAAAAAACAGAAAACATTTAACAGGAGCAATGCACTATAGCAAAAAGGGTAACAAAATTTTTAGCAATGATAATAAATTTAAACACAAGAGTCTGAAACTTTAAAATTCGGAAATCAAAGGCCAAACACATGTTGATGAGTCTATGAAATGTACATCATTGTAAGTCTACCAAATCATAAGATGAAACTTCTTTCTGAAGAAGAGCTGATAAGATTTGTTTGTGTATTTCATATAATACTTTGAACAAAAATCACAGTAATGGTGAAGCAAAACCTATGGAATGAATTTGGAAAAAACCTAAAAATGCTCATCTGAAATTAGTATAGGATTTAAACTGCTGTTTTTAATGTCTGGCCTACACCAAAAAGAAAAAAGGAAAAAAAAGCAACCCACATATCATGAGTGAAGGTTTGCCAGTATCAAGATAGCTTCAATAGCAAGAAGGTGTCACTAGGAGCCAAATCTTCCACAGGTGTTTGTTCATTTTCCACCTGTCTGCTGATGGGCAGGAGACACAGGATATAGGCAATCTTCTGGATTGCATCTTCCACTGGGTCCTGGGGGGCCTTGGGGTCCTGGGACACCTGGTGATCCTGGCAAACCCAGAGCTAACAAAATAAAAGACCCCATTAGAATGCAGACCACACATGGATTACCCACTTTGACATAGAAATCCCATAGGGTAGAAGCCATGATTCCCACTCTTAGAGGCTTGGGCTGTGAAGATATGAGCCTTGTTACCTGCAGTTCCAGGAAGCCCCGGACTCCCTGGTAGCCCAATTCCAGGTTCACCTCTTTCTCCCTTCTGTCCTCGGTAGCCTAAGAGAAACATTAAAAAAGGATACAAAAAGTAAGTGTTCTACAGAAAATACACACATACAAGAACCATTTTCTGACTGATGTTTATGTGATTCATTCACTTAAATAGTATACTAGCTATTGTTTTGATGTTAAACATATACGTTAAACAGGATAGGTACACTAAAGAAATCGAAGATTTTAAAAATACGTAACTACTATAAGAAGTTCCAGGTAGCCACACTCTTGAGGGTGAAATTTTTGGCACTGAAAATGATGTCTGTATAAATCAATCCTTCAGGTCTACATTCGCTTGGTTGTGACAAGGTGCATGAGGAGTCCTCTTCAGTAGGAATTCTGACTGGAAGCTAGGCGCAGACTAAAATATACTAAAAAGGGTTCTGCTTCCCATAAGGACAAGATAATATGACAAGAATCGACACTGTAGTCCAAGAGTTAGAGAATGAAGGCAAAAATTCATGATTTTAATCAAGCAAGAATATAAATGTATGTGAGTCAATTCACCCCACGTCAAATCTTTATTTAAATTACTGATTGTAATAGCATGATATCCTTTTTAAGAAAAAACTGCAGTCCCATGGCTTAACACATCACTTTGTAAGTCTGATGGGCTGGGGGCTTCCATAATGCCAAAAAATAAGAGGAAATTGTGGGGTCCTCCCACATACATTTCAGCAACTTAGGTTTTTAACAAAAATGAATTGGTTTTGAGACCTGTGTAGACATTAAGATAAATCACTGATTCTTGAATATGGTTGTCGTTGCATGGGCTAGGATAATAGAGAAATTGGTGCCTCTAGGAGCCCTTAGCTTTGCCTTAAAAAGAAGCATAAAGCACATTGTTCTGTGCTTCACATACTGGCATTCACGTCATACTTTGAAGAAAAGGTTCTGTGTTCTAAGAGATTCAGGGATGGGAAGCAGAGTTTTAATTTCCACCTTTTTCATACTTACAACAGTGGCTTAAAAATTTCTCCTAGACCCAAATGTACAAAGTAATCAAGTAGAATCAGCAAGGATGTTAAGGAGGAGAGCTTCCCAGCAGGAAATAGTGGTCTTAACTCAGTTGTGCCTTTTCATAAAAGTGTTATTACAGCAGAACATGGCATGAGGGAGAAATATAATGCTCCCTAGAAGGAGTACCTATGTTAAGCTATTTGCCTTTATTGCCGAGAATTAGACATCAATTCTGGGATCAATCTCGGTTTTGACAATATCTAAATAATGATGTTAGTATTACCTGAATAACATTAGCAATGTAATTACCCCACAGTTAGTTATTTCCTTTGGAGATGTGACCTGAACATGAATGTGGAAGTAGTGGGAAAAGAAGTATGGTAAGGAAATGTCTGGCTTATCAAAAGTAATTTATTTGTGTATGTATTTTTATTTGGAAGGGAGAGAGCAAGTGAGGGAGCGTGCTCATCCACTGATTTACTCGCCAAATTCCTACAATAGTTGAGGCTGGGCCAGGCTGGGTCAGGCTGAAGCCAGGAGCATAGAACTCCATTTGTGTCTTCCATGTGGGTTGCAGGGACTCAGGTACTTGAGTAATCACCTGCTGCTTCCAGGATATGCATTAGCAGGAACCTGGAGCGGAAGCACAGTAGCCTGAACTTAAACCAGGCACTGTGATGGGGGATGCAGGTGTCTCAAGCAGTGGTTTAACCCATGGTACCCATAATACCTACCCCAGTAAGGAAGTATTTGAAGTATATTAAGGAAATACATGAAAGACTTCACACATATACACTGGAAAATACGTTAAGTGGATACACATTCAGATTTAAAATATTTCCAGGATTTCTTTGTTGTAAGTGTCCTTCATTTAACATAAGTGAACAATAAGGAAAAGTGTACTGGAATCATTTGAAAGCATGTTCCAAACTGATTATTTAAACATTTCTAGAATAAAGTAGCATTATCTCAAGTTTGATAATCTACCCAGAATTCACTTACATACAGATTGTAAAAGTTGACTGTTAGGATATCTCAGTAAGTTAAGATCACAGACTAAAAAAATGAGGAATCAAGATACATTAATTTATGATTAACAAGATTGTAATACAATTACAAATGAATACACCTGCTAAAACTATCCAGTTTAAATTTAGTTCTATTTTGATGCAAAAATATATTATTTCACATGAATTTCAGCATATAAAATCACAAAACAATGATCATTTGTATATATTTGTATAAGGCAATATTTACCTTTTTCCTGTCAAATATATTAATTTCTGTGAACAAATTTAGTTTCTGTGTTCAGTAGTTTAATAATATCCTGTTATTAACAGATAAAGCAATTGAATTACACAAATACAGGAAATACTTTCACCCTTGAATTTTCTAATAAGGTCTTAAACTCATTCATTATGAAGGCTGCCATGAAGCATTGGGGTCTTGTTTTATAATTGCTTTATAACACAGCTTCAGTTAGGAATGCTAACACAGTAACAGTTTTACCTTTTTCTAAAATTAAATGATTCATTTCTTCAGGGCAGATCTCTTTTGAAATTGAGAAGAGACTGACCTATTTGCAAACAAATGTATTTCCACAGACTTTAAGTGTACAGGTACAGAATGCTATCACTGTGCTGATGTAGGACAAGAAATCAAACAGCAGCAATGAACTCATCTGAAGCACACATGGGTACTAGTCATTGAGCAAGTCGGTGCTTGATGATAGACCGTATTTAACTCTAGCAGGGAGATTTTAGATTTGATGGCAGGGATTTATTTCTAAGGCAGGCAAGTCCGTGGCCCGCAAAGAGGTTCTGTTGGCCTTTGGGGAGGAATGTTTTCATCTGTGGTGCCCACTGTCTCATGACTTACAAATTGTTTAGCCTCCCTAGCTCCACTCCACTAATTGACAGGTGCACCCTTCAGTATTCTGATGCACTCCCACATCTGCCCATTACCAAAGGCCGCTACTGCTGACTCATTTGAAAGGTTGAATCTATACCCTTCACATAAACTACCCTGTGGGTCACCAGTTTACAAATAGCAAAAAGTTTTTCATTGTTCATAAACCATCAAAGGCTAAACTTCAGAAGTTTAAAAATTAGAACAACTACTCTCAATATCACTCTTTTAATAAAACTGACGGTGGGCACATGGAGTGCTTGCATCTGTGTTTTCTAATAATTCCACTTGTGGGGCTCTTTCTGAAATTACCAGGGCTTTCAAATGAGGTGTCTATTCTTCAGTGTCCCCCCCCCATCAATTGAGTTTATTTTTAAATTTTTCATTAACATGGAATATCTGTATAATTTTATGGGGTATAATATTTCAATAGGTATGCACAGCACAAACCAATCTGATTAAGCAATTAGCTCTTCTGTTTCCTTCATTGTGAGCTATTGTTACCCTACGCTTTGGCACCAGATGCATTATCTTCTTGTGACTGCATTTTGGTTTTCATTTTAAAGGTTAAAATGTTCTTGGAGCATTCATCCAAGAAAATAGGATGCTGGGAAAATTCATCTCGCAGTTTATACAGGGCAACTCAGAGGATCATGCATCACAGGACTTTTTTCTTTTTAAAAGTTTCACTCTTAATTGATACACAATAATTATGTATGAAGCACAGAGTGGTATTTTGCTTCTTGTACACTTTATGTAATAATGATGTTTAGCAAATCCATCACCTCAAACATCAATTTCTTTGTGCTGAGAATGTTCAAAATTCTCATTTTGGTTGTTCTGAAATTCATAGCAGAATTTTGTTAAGTCTAGTTACTGTACTGCACAATATCACACCAGAATTTATTTTTCCTAATGAACTATACTTTTTTACCCATGGCCATACTTTCTGAATTCCCCCCATTGACAGGCAGAGTTAGAAAGTAAGAGAGAGAGACAGAGAGAAAGGTCTTCCTTCCATTGGTTTACCCCACAAATGGCCACTACGGCCCCGCGCGCTACGGCCGATCCAAAGCCAGGAGCCAGGCGCTTCCTCCTGGTCTCCCATGTGGGTGCAGGGCCCAAGCACTTGGACCATCTTCCACTGCCTTCCCAGGCCATATCAGAGAGCTGGCCTGGAAGAGGAGCAACCAGGACAGAATCCAGCGCCGCAACTGGGACTAGAACCTGGGGTGCCGGCGCCACAGGCGGAAGATTAGCCTAGTGAGCCGCGGCGCTGGCCCAAATTCCCCCCATTTTTAACCTCCCCAACTTCTATAAACCATAAGGGTGATATATACGCATACACTTATCTATGTATATGTTAGAAAAAATTACATATAAGAAGGAAGACACTAGGATCCTCACAGAGATTCCCGACAAGGGCTGCATTAAATACTAGTATCTATAGATGATGTCTCTATGTAGATATATACATCTCCTTATCCACAGCAGAGCTTTTCTCTGCAGTCTTGGGCTTCTCTGGTCCCAGTGTGGCACATTCTTGCTCACCCCCACTCCCTAGGCACCTTAGCAATCAGGTCCTATGCTGCAGACCTGAGAAAAGAATGAAGAACACCCAGGAAAGCTCTCTGCTCAAAGCCTAGTGGGCAATAAAATTAGAACTCTACAGGATGGTTATAACTTTCTTGAAATGCTTTTGAATGAAATTATGTATCTATCAGGGTTGGCACTTGCAGTTAAAATGTCTTTAGGGAAACCTGCATCCAGCAGGCCTGGGTTTGAGTCTGAATTTACTCCTGATTCGAGTTTTCTACTAATGCAGACTCAGGAGGTAGCAGGTAGAAGCTCAAGTACTTGGGTCCCTGCCACTCATGTGGGAGACATGAATTGAGTTCCCAGCTCCTTTCTGGCTTTGGTTTGGCCCAAAGGAGTGAACCAGTGAATGGGCACTTTCTCTGTCTCTCTGCCTCTGAAATGAATTTATTTAAAAAGATATCAACTTGTATGTATGTCTGTATGTGAATTTAGGAAAAATGCAAACAAGGCAACTCAGAACCATAATGGTATCTATTCTTTTTTAAATTTACTTATTTATTTGACGTAGAGTTACAGAGAGAGGGAGAAACAGAAAA